TTCCAAAATCCTAGTCCCCTTAGGTATCCATTTGTGTAGGATATCCTTATCTTTAGTAGTAATGAGCTCTTTAGGAACCCATATACTTCTAACGATTTTTCTATTAGAGGTTCTTCGGGGACCTCTATGATTGTAGTTTTTAAAACTTTTTTCTACAAAGTTGGATTTTGAATTTTCTCCTTTTTGAAAACGTTTTGTTCCAACTTTATCAAAAGAAGCTTTAAGATCATCAATTTCCTTTTGATGATCATCATGAACTTTTGAAAGTAAGTTATGCAAATCTTTATTTTTCTTTTCAAAATCATCAATTTTGATTTGCAAATCTTTAATCTTACTTTCAAGCTCATTGTTGGTCTTGGATATAAGATTATTTTCATTTTTTAATTTTGAAACATCATTTTTGTATTTTGAAAATAGAGTCTTATAATCCGAAGCCAAACCATTATAATCCTCTAATAAACTCATCATAAGATAATTCATCTGAATCAAATGAGTTAGAGGTTACCTGAGGGTTTTCCCCGATGGCCATCAAACACAAGTTGTCTACTTCTTGTTCCTCTTCATCAGAACCTTCTTCATCACTCCATGTAGCTACATGAGCCTTGTGCTTCTTTTTGGATTGACCCTTTTCTTCAATTATGGGCAATCATATTTGACATGCCCTGACTTTTTGCATTCATAGCAAATGATCGGGTCTTTCTCCTTCGATTCAGTTTTGAAGCCTTCATTGCATTTGAATTTTCTTCCTCGGTTGGGCATCATCAATTTTCTGAATCGTTTGGCAAATAATGCCATTTCCTCGTCATCATCATCGTCATTAGAATCACTCTCATCTTTTGTGGATTTGAGAGCAACTCCAATGTTTTTCTTCTTCTCCTTCTCCTTTGGTGTCTCGTCAATCTTATCGAGGTCCACCTTATCTTCAAGCATCATTTCATGAGTGAGGAGGGAACCGATTAGCTCTTCAAGAGTTAAGGACGTTAGGTCCTTAACCTCTATGATTGTCGTCTTCTTTGATTGCCACGCTTTTGGAAGGGAGTAAACTAACTTCCTCACAAGATTTTCATTTGAAATGATCTCTCCATATGATTTGATACCGTTGACAATCGTTGAAAACCTATCCGTCATAGCTTTGATATCTTCATTTGGTTCCATCCTGAAATTTTCATAGCTATGCGTTAGAATACTAATTTTAGATTTTTTTTACCTCATCGGTACCTTCATGAGTAACTTGAAGCTTGTCCCATATTTCTTTGGCGGTTGTACAAGATGAAACTCTTCCGTATTCATCTAGTCCAAGAGCACAAAATATGATATGAATGACTTTGGAGTTGAGCTGGAACATTCTTGTCTCTCCTTCACTCCACAACCTTGGATAAGTGAGAGGCTTGATGTATCCTTCTTCTATGGTATTCCATTCTCCCATGTCACTTGCTTGAATGAAGTACATCATCATATTCTTCTAATAGGCATAGTTAGCTCTATTGAAGAAATGAGGTTTGTTGACGGGCATAAAATCGAGATCGGAGTCGAAGTTTGAAGCGGAGGCCATTGATGACTTGATTATCGATGTAACTCTTCCCGAATCGACTCAAGAGGTGATTAAACATTCAAATGAGTGAGGCTCTGATACCAATTGTTGAGTTAATCGATCGACGGAATCGGCCAAGAGGGGGGTGAATTGGCAATTAAAAATTCTGGTGGAAGCTTTTGCAGAAAATAGAAAAGATTTGTATAGTAATTTAGAGTGGTTCGACTTTCTCAACCAAAGTCTACGTCCACTACCTTAGCTATCCACACTAAGGATTTTCCAACAAATTCACTAATTTGTTCTTTCTTTTGAGGCCAAAGAGATAACCTTACAACTATCTCAAGAATATACCCCAATTCTTGAGAACACTCTTTCTCAAAGAGAAGATTACAAATTCGCAAACTTAATGAAAAACCTCACAAGGAAAATATGTTTACACAATTCTAGAACAAAGAAAAGAACACTCAAGAATGAATACAATTGAGTACAAGTAGTGTTCTTGAAAGCAAAATGAATATTGAATGAAAAATAGGCTTGAAGTGCTCAAACTTGAGGTTTGATGCTTTCTCTTTGATTCTCTCTTGATTCTAGTTTCTTGTTGTTGATCAATGCCTTCTAAGCTTGTTTAAATACTTCTTCAAATGATTCTGAACGTTGGGGATGCTTAGTGGAGTTAATAGAGCCGTTTAAATGTGAAAACAATTAATAAATGCAGTTGGGAGCGTCAGTGCATCGATGCATACCCATGGTGCATCGGTGCATCAGTGTAAAATTCAAATATTTTGACCGTTGGACCCTTGGTGCATCGATGCATTAAGAGTGCATCGATGCATAAAATGCATTCGATGTTTTGAAAAAGCCTGAGCGCATCGATGCACGGTCTTGTGCATCGATGCATCAAATGCACCGTGCATCGATGCATCAAATGCACTGAGTGCATCGATGCATGGTATGTGCATCGATGCATAAAATGCATTCGATGTTTGAAAAAATAATTGGTGCATCGATGCATGGATTGGTGCATCGGTGCATCACTTTGAAAAATTGATTTTAGGCTTGATTTCGGTTCAAAATACTTTGTGAAAATTGTTTAAAAAATAGTTTAAATATAAAACACAATTTTACACATTTAGTAAGGTTTGAAATGATCTTGAAAAACTTGGAGTAATAATTTGATATTCGAGTAATTAAATCGAATATACTTAGAAAATCATTTGTAAAATCTTAAAATTCATTTAAACTTAATTTGTTATATCGAAACATCAAAATGTTTTCAACACCATTCAACCAAGGGGTTAAGGAGGTTCACATATTAACAAATTACAAAACATATATTATGCATAGAGGTGCTTATCGAGCAAGTCAATCGCGAGCTGAATAGTACACCAATATTCATCCTAAAGACTCTATCAACGTTTAAATCACAAGAGCCCAAATAACGGATGATTCACAAGTTGTTGCTGCTGATTTTAAAGCGTGTCCTTGTTGTTGCTTGCTGGGTCTACATTGGACATGGCTTTGATGTTAAGGCGTTGGTGTTGTGGGGCACACTAGTCTTGACTCGCTTCTGTTTTTTTCTAAAGTAAAAAAAGTGGAAACTCGAGACGACGACAGAAGATAAGAGTGAGACATATACACTTTTGAAAATTACACATTCTATAATAGACGGACTCAGAATTTTCTATTATAATGAATTTATAAAATTTTAAGAGGAAATAAATTTAAAATTCTTTTAGAGGAAGACGGTCTATTCCTGCACCCTATTAACTTACCTGAGAAGCAGGTTGGCTAAGTCAAGAACGACAGCTATGATACGTAGTGATTGGTTCCAACTTTCCAGCAATCAAACAATCCTAAACTGACGTGACCAAGATTTTTTCAGAACACATGATCATTCGAATTCTAATTTGTAAATTTATATAAAAAACTTAGAATTGTGATTTAGAAATATAATATTACCAACAATACTAAAAATCAGTAATATAAACCTAATCTCAATGCTACCTATTTCTTTTATAATATTATGTTTTTTATCTCATTTTTAGTGACTTCGGTTCTTTTTCTTAATATAATGAGATAAGAGCTAATGAATCCAACTCTCTGATTCTTTGATATAATATCTCAAATAATATCCTAATGATTTTCTTTCATTTTTAGTGACTCAGTGTGGAGTATATATCTCTGATCTTTATGAACTAAAAGTATCAAATTTTTACTGTTGAATACTATTTAAACTTATATATAAGGATGGATTGAGGGGTAATGGGGTCGGTCGTACTCACTAAAAATTTTAATCTCCCTTATATTTTAAGTTATTTCTATTAATTATTTAGTTTTGCGTCCCTAAAATTTTACAACTTCGCACCCTTTAGAAATTTTAATATAACTTCTTAAGTTGGCACCTCTTTACATAAATTATATATATATATATGCACGAAAACACAACTGAAAATTAAACTATTAGTCCATACATATGTATCTCAGAAATAAAAAAACTATAAACATTATAACAATTTATCAATATAAGATCATAACTTACATACATGTGAAATTCAATGTCATATAGAATAAGATTTTTACATGCCTTATTATGGTTATATAACTTAATACACGCCATCATAATTTAGTGAAAAATTTAGAAAAGTACTAAAGTTACATGAAAGTGTATGTGCGTAACTTGAATTTTCTTAAATTTTTAGTGTAAAATTTGATAAATATTTGGTGTAATACATAAATTTTAATTTTTTGTAATTATATACACAATATTTTAATTTTAATTTAATTATATGTAGTAAAAATTAAATATAATAATTATACACATGAAACATTATTTTTAGTTAAATTATGTAAAAATAAATATAATTATTTATTTACATACTAAATAAATATAAATAGTTATGTATATAATACATAAATATTTATTTATATAATAGTGTTATATAAATAATGGTATTAATAATTTATAAATTTAAATCAAATAGAAATTTTATATAGAATTTTTCAAAAATAAATGAAGTTGATATAGAAAGTTAAATATTACTTTTGATATTTATCTATCTAAATAATCCCTCCCACAATTTCATTATAGGATAAATTATGAGTTTAGTACTTAAATTATCAATTTTAGTTCATTTTAATACCTAAGCATTCAATTTTTTCAAAACTATACTTACATTTAGTTTTAGTTTCGTTATAAAATGGCCAAAACTGATAGTTTAGGTATGAGTTTAAAAAATTAAAAGTTAGGTATTAAAACGAATCAAAACTAATAATTTAAATAATAAACGCGTAATTTACCCTTCATTATAAAATGACAAAAAGGGAAAAAGTCTTCCCCCATATATACGGCTACCCTTGGCCATTCTCAGCCAACGATACTTTATCTCGTTACGTGATTCAGAATCCGAAGGACTTGTCTATAAAAGCTCTTCACTCTCCTAGTAGGCTAGTACATCGAAGAAGAAGAAAAATCAACATATACTATGAGGCCTTCACTTTCATTTTCATGCTTTCTTCTCATCGTAGCTCTTGTCCAATTCATTGCCTTTTCTTCCTCGTCTGAGCAGCCATCAGTGCTTTGTCACAGCGATGAGCGTCGTGCTTTGATGCAGTTCAAGGAGAGCTTCATCATCGACAAGCATGCTTGTTCTGCTACTTCGTCTTCTTATCCTAAGGTTGATAGTTGGGATTCACAAGGTGTGGATTGCTGTTCATGGGATGGCGTAGAGTGTGACCAAATGACCGGTGTCGTGATAGGCCTTGACCTCAGCAGTGGTTGCCTTTACGGCTCCATCAATTCCTCCAACAGTCTCTTTCGCCTCCTTCACCTTCAAAAGCTTAACCTGGCTTTCAATGATTTCAATCACTCTCTGATTCCCTCTGCGTTGGGCAATCTTTCCATGCTCACGTATCTTAACCTGTCTAGTTCTGTATTTTCTGGTCAAATACCCTCAGAAATTTCAAAGCTCTATAGGCTATCTTCCCTGGATCTCTCAAATAATCAAGAGTTTAACCCTTTTCGAAGGTTGTTGGAACTTGTTAGCATAATGAGTTAGTGCTTGAGGTAGTGCTCTTACGTGGCTCGAGCTCTTGTGCATGCTGTTTAGTGATTCTAGAAGTTTGCTAGTAGTTAAGGCTGTTAATGTTTAGTTGAGGTTGTTAATGTTTAGTTACAAAGTCTGTTAAGACTATAACAACTATGGAGAGCTGTATATAAACAACAGAGGAGTTGTAAATCAAGTAGTGTATTCTGATATTCAATATACAAGTCTATATTCTTCTGGTTATCCTTTTTTTCAACATGGTATCATTCGCCAAACGGTCCTGACCTTGGTGTTCGTCCCCTGCATCCTCCTCTTCCTCCGTTGCCGTCGGCTTCCGTTTCCAGCACCGCTTAAAATGGAAGGCCGCCGGCGTACGGAGACTAAACCGGTTCATGCTGTTAGACAAACGAAGAACAAGTTGTTGATTGCTCGTTTCCTTCACTACCACCTTGGCCTTGGTTGCCCTGCTGAAATGTAGCAAAAATCAGGATGTACTTTGAAGGCCGATCGTGTTTGTGATTACAATTGTTCTAGTTGCAATTCAGTGGAATGCTTCTCTAATTGTTCTTTGTCTTCGAATTCTGATGCTGCTAATGGAAGTAAAAACGAGAGGTTGCATAACTGTCGCTGCAAAGCAAAAGTGTCAAAATCCATGAAAGCTAATGAGGTTGCTTCTTGCCGAAAAGAAAACATAAAAATCCGTTCCGACTTCGATGAGCTTAAGATCAGGAGAGCTCGGATGTTCAATTACGAAGAACTTGAGAGGGCCACTGGTGGATTCAAAGAAGAATCCGTGGTTGGAAAAGGAAGTTTCTCATGCGTTTATAAAGGGGTATTGAAAGATGGGACTGTTGTTGCAGTTATAAAGGCTATAATGTCTTCAGATAAACAGAAGAATTCGAAAGAGTTCCACACAGAGTTAGATTTATTGTCAAGATTGAACCATGCCCATCTTTTAAATCTGCTCGGATACTGCGAAGAGGGTGGAGAACGGCTTCTGATTTATGAGTTTATGGCTCATGGATCATTGCACCAGCATCTTCATGGAAAGAACAAAGCCTAGAAAGTGCAATGGAGGTTTCCTGACGGGTAAATGGTGTAGCCTAGTATTAATTTTTTTTTCTCTGGTCGTGTATAATAGAAAGAGCAATGAAGAAGAAAGAAATGGAGGTGAAAAAGAAGAACGAAAGGAAGCATCGGCACTTTCGATTCAAAGTGAACGGAAGGAAGCATCGTCACTTTCGATTCAAAGTGAACGGAATGAAGCATCGGCACTTTCGATTCAATTGATCATCTTTTCATCAAGAAGGTTGAATGTCAGAAATTAGTTGTAATTAGTTTTTTAGAGCTTGCTATAATAGTGTGTTCAAGGTTAGAAGAACTGAAGAAGAAGAAATAGAGGGAATGTTAGCATAATGAGTTAGTGCTTGAGGTAGTGCTCTTACGTGGCTCGAGCTCTTGTGCATGTTGTTTAGTGATTCTAGAAGTTTGATAGTAGTTAAGGCTGTTAATGTTTAGTTGAGGTTGTTAATGTTTAGTTACAAAGTCTGTTAAGACTATAACAACTATGGAGAGCTGTATATAAACAGCAGAGGAGTTGTAAATCAAGTAGTGTATTCTGATATTCAATATACAAGTCTATATTCTTCTGGTTATCCTTTTTTTCAACAGAACTCAAAGAGCCAGATTTGAATAATTTGATACAGAATTTAACAAACTTGGAGAAGCTTCATCTGTCGTACGTAGATATGGCTTCTCCGGTTCCCAGTGTGTTGGCCAACTTTTCGAAGCTCACCTCCCTTTATCTCGAGGGTTGTGGACTGCAGGGCATGTTTCCATCAGCCATTTTCCAGCTTCCCAAGCTTGAAACTATTTGGCTGTTACACAATCATGTTCTCACAGGTTACTTGCCAGAGTTCAGTTTCAGCAACAATCTTAAAACGTTGGCGTTGTGGAATACAAGCTTTTCTGGTGAGTTACCTGCATCAATTGAGAACCTTGATTCCATGGAATTCTTGGGACTTGGTCACTGCAACTTCACAGGGTTAGTGCCATCTACATTGGGTAATCTCCCCAATCTCAAGTTCCTGGATCTTGCAATCAATTCTTTTAGGGGTGAGTTGCCTTCCACTAATCCCAATACTTATTTATTTAGTTGGAGTAATCTCCACTAATCTCAAGTTTCTGATTCTTCTTCATTGCAACATCACAGGGTCAGTATCGCCGACGCTGGCTAATCTCACCAAGCTCGATTATTTGGATCTTGGTAGTAATTATTTTACAGGTGAGTTCAGCTACCAGCAGAATAAAATTCTTCTGCCCTTGTGCCCCTGCAGAATAATTAGCTGTTTATCTTAATCTAACAGGTTTTATTCCTCCTGAGCTGACCAACCTGACCCAACTCACTGATTTGGACCTGCAACAGAACATGTTACAAGGATCAGTTCCAAGCTCACTTTTTCGACTGTGACGCCAATAGATTGGGTGGCATACTGGAGATGGATACATTTCTTGAGCTAAAGAATTTGCAAAATTTGTTTCTGTCAAAGAATGATTTCTATTTAGTTTCTAGAAATAATAGCAATGCCACCGGTGCTCAGCTTGTTGATATAGGGTTGCGGTACTGCCATCTAACAGAGTTCCCATATTTCTTGCGCAACCAACACCGCTTGCAGCTTCTTGATCTTTCTTCAAACAACATTAAGGGCCAGATACCCCAATGGATGTCCAAAGTGAGCGTTGAAACTCTCTTTTTTCTAGACCTTTCAAACAACTCTCTCACCGGTTTTGTTGAATTCCCAATTGTTCTTCCTTGGTCTAAACTACAATATCTGAAACTTGATTCCAACATTCTCCAAGGTTCACTCCCTGTTCCACCCATGTCTACTCTTTTCTATTCCATCTCAAACAATTCTCTAAGCGGAGAAATCCCACAGCTGTTGTGCAATGTCAGCACTCTTTCTATTCTTGACGTTTCCCAGAATAACTTGACTGGTAACATGCCAATGTGTCTGAGCAACTTCAGCAAGCTCTTGTTAGTATTGAGGGTGCGGTCCAACAACTTGCAGGGTCCTATTCCTAGTGGTTGGACAAGTGGAAACAGATTAAAAATGATAGATTTGGGAAGAAACAACTTGCAAGGTGGGATTCCAAAATCTCTGATGGCGTGTAGAATGTTGGAATATCTTGATCTTGGAAACAATCAGATTAGGGATGGATTCCCTTCATGGTTGGGGTCACTTCCGCAGTTGAATATTCTTATTTTATCCTCGAATGCACTTTATGGTACCATAGGGGACCCTACGTCGAATGTCATCGTCTTCCCTAAGTTGCGAGTCATCGATCTCTCTCACAACGGATTCAATGGAACCCTGCCATCAGGTTACTTTGAAAGATGGATCACCATGACAAGTCTAGATGGGAAAAACTCACAAGCTTCTTACATGGTTGAAAATTCAAATATGAAGATAAATGACATGCAAGTTCCCAGGACTTATGCCTACTCAATGACAATCACAAACAAAGGCACAGAAATGCAGTACCCAAAGATCATTAAGACTCTTGCAGCCATTGATTTCTCCTGCAACAGATTTGATGGAGAAATTCCAGAATCCATTGGGAATCTCAAAGAGCTTCAGTTGCTCAATTTTTCGAATAACAATCTAGTTGGAGGAATCCCAAAAGCTATAGCGAAGCTTACTAATCTTGAAGCTTTGGACCTTTCAAGGAACAAGCTAGAGGGAAGAATTCCTTTGGAGTTGAGTCCTGGACTCAATTTCCTTGAGTTCCTCAACCTCTCTCATAATCATCTCACAGGGATTATACCACAGGGCCACCAATTTGATACTTTTCAAAGTAGTTCCTTTGAAGGAAATCCAGGGTTGTGTGGAAAACAATTGCTAAAAGAATGTAACACTAATTCTGGAGGATTGCCAACTCCATCTTCAACTAGTTCAGAAGAGTCTGGATCATTGGATTGGATAGCAATATTTCTGGGCTATGGATGTGGATTCCTATTTGGAACAGTGATTGGGAATGTTGTGATCAAAAGGAAATATGATTGGTTTACCAAGACTTTCTCCAAAATTCATGGAAGCACTCGAATGAGCTGAATTATATTCAAATGCATGCATGTACTGTATAATGAGTGAGGTGGTGATATACAATGATTAATACAAAAATAAAATGTTTTAGTTATTCACCGATTACATTTCAGGTCTGAGAGAAAACTGGATTATGTGAAAGAGACGAAAGAACTTTAAAGAGAGAGAGAGGAGGCCAAGGGGACTTCATTAGGGACGGATGTACGTTATAGGTGGGAAGAGCAATTACCCCTCCCAATTTTGATGGTCTAACTACATTTTAGGTCATTGATTATTATAAAACCATTATAATTAAGCTTTTACCCCTCTCAACTTTGATGATCTAATTACATTTTAAGTCACTGATTATTATAAAATCATTATAATTGAGCCCTTGTCCCTTCCCAAATTCGTTGGTATAATTATTTTTAGGTCATTGTAACTTCTAAAATTAATGGAGTTAAGCGTTTAACCTAAATTTATGTGATTTAATTACTTTTTGAGACCTTTAAATTTAGTGAAATTAAACCCGTCATTATATACCCGAGTGTTTAAACATTCCGTCTTAGATGCAATACCATGAAAGTTAGGCTTGAGGCGTTATAGGCCTATGATGCTTATTATCTTGGCCCAATATGTGAGTCCATTGAGCCATTCTGGTTGTTTTTTATTGGGTTGGGAGAAAGTGATCTAATATATACAGTAAGTGGCTTTAAGGTGGAGTTTTTTTTGGAACAATGTTAAAATTAGCCCCTAACATTTATTAAAATATTTCTTTTACTCTCTATTCTTTTCTTTAGAACAATTTAACCCTTAATGTTTTATTTTGGAGTAAAAAGGCTCGTTTGTGGGTGAAAACTGTTAGTTAACAAACGATTAACACTTTAAAATAAAAGGTCTTTTTACTCTAAAATGAAATGTTGGGGCCAACATGTTTCAGGAAAAAGTCTAAATGACTATTTTGATAAATGTTATGGGTTAATTTTGACATTAGGTCTTCCTTTTACTCTTGTCTTGTTTTAGTCATCCAATTATTTTTTCAAGATTTTAAAAAGACGCTGACAAAAATTTTCCAAATGTAGCCAACAAGATTTGATTTCACGCCCCATTAAAGAGAGGGGAAGCACTTACCTATTGGACTAAGCACAATATTGAAGACATACCCCAATACTTATAAAATTTATATCAATATAAAAAGTACTTTTTTTACAACAGATAACCAAAATAAAAATAAATCGAACATCAAAATAGAAATTCCCAGGGTTGACACAATCTCACTTGTTATTCATCTCATGTTACAAACACAACGAAATTCATGATTCCCGCGGTAACATGTTTATTACATAATAGTTTATACGATTTAACATCAGTCGTGTTAAATCGAGTGGGAACTCACGTCTTTGGTAACATATATCGAAGTTACTGTGAATAGACAAGTGGGGAACCCACATCGTCATCACAGTTCACAAATTTCATTGAATTCATTTGTCTTGATGAATATTTTTTGAATGACATGCTTGTTTGGGAACACATAATTGTTTAGGTTAGGATATTCTTGATAGCGAATAGCATGAATTGTGATCAAGTTAGATTTCCTGTGATACTCCATGATTTTGTTGGTTGAAATGTGCTTAGCTCGATGCATGAAAACAATTTGGTGAGATTTGAGCCTTTACGAGCATATCATTTTGCTCTCATTTCGTTGGATTTGAGTGTGTCAAATTTGACATTGGTATTCTAGAACCTGCATTTTAAATATTGTCGAGATTACACATGAACATGGTGCTTAAAAATGATTTGGGCACTTTAGGATTAACCGTTCCGTTTTCCCCACTAAAATTGCCTACCCATGCATTTTCCCCTAGTTAATCACTTTTGAGCCATTCTCATTTCTTTGTTTTCACCATATTCATAAACTCGAGCCTTTTTATTTTATCCCTCTTTTCTACCCTTTTCAGGGCAAGTGAACAGTTAATCTGATGTATGCTCCATAAAAAAGGAGAGAGAGACAGCAGCAGTTCGAAAGAAAGAAGAAAAGAAAAAAAAGAAGAAAAGAGAAGTTATTCGGAAAAAAAGAAAAGAAAAAAAGGAGAAAAGACATGATAAAAAATTTGAAAACAAAACAACAACAAAGAGAAAAAAAATCAAATGCATTTAGAAAAGAAAGTTGTTGTTTGATAGTTTGTCTTTTTATCTTATTATGCTTAATGTTTTGATGAAGTTGAACTTGTTATTTGTTAGTTCATTGCCTTGAATTTTTAGCCATATATTTAGCTTTTTCCCCACCTTTACCTAAGCTCCGTTACAACCAATAAAAGACCCTTTGATTTATGCATCTTGTTCTCGTTAGTAGCGGAGATTTGATTTACTTGCAGATTTATGGTAATATCGGGTCGGTTCTGACATTGAGCGCTTCTATACCTCAAACACATTGAGTGATTTGAGTGAATCTCGATAAGGTGTTGAGTTATGGGTATTGAGATTAATGAATGAATGGATGTTATATTTGCATTTGACTTGTTCCAATTGGTGATGTTCAATTGATTGATGTCTTGACTTGAATAATTATTATGGTATCTACCTTGCTTCCTTGAATGTGAAACTTGACAAAGAAATGTAAATGTAATTTTTTGACTGATTTGATTATATCATACTTGAGGACAAGCATGAGATAAGTGAGGGGAATTTGATGAGTATTCAGAATCAGTAGTATTTGCTCGTTAATTCTTCGATCTTATGGATTTATTACTGCTGATTTGGTTTTGTTATGCTTGTTTTCGTGCAAGATCTTACTTTCCAGACTTAGTGGTAAAGCGGGCGTATTCTGCATTTTTTTTATTTGGTCAAGACTGGAGACATGGGCACGACTCTGGGCATGACACGATCTGACGTGGCAGTTTCTAGAAGGTCCAGTCAGCAGCAGTTTCTAAAAGATCTAATCAGCGCGCCTTCTGGAATATGGACGGCGAGCAGAGTTGCATTAGGAGACTTATTTAAAGTTTGAATTTAGAAAAAAATAATTATCTTTAGGATTATTTCATTTTAATTTATTTGTTTATCTCTAGGTTTTTAAAGGCTATAAATACACTCTTGGGGTAAGCCTAAACACAACTCATATTACAATATTTTTCTCCTTTCTAGTTTTATAAAAGTTCTCTCCTTTATTTTATTTTTCAAGTTTTCGGTTTTTCCTTTTATTTTTAAGCTTTGTTTTTAAATATGCTAAGTATTACTTTTTTCATGCTTAGCTAATTTTCTCATAAGCCGAGAGCTGAAGCGATGACTCAATTCCAAAGGAAGAATTGAAAAAGGCCCTAATAACTTTGGAATATCTTTCTCGATCTCTGCGCTTATTTTTCAAAATCAAAACAGTTTTCAAAATCAAAGATTGACTTTGGTCAAGAGGTTGTTGCGATTAAATGTGTGGGAGGAAGGATCGACTTATTGAAAGCACATTCGACTTCCTAGGAAAACACTTGGCAAGATAGCCTTGCCAAGAGAGAATTGAGATCAGAATCGGTAGTTATTGAAGCAACAATCCGAGTCGGTCTTCACGAACTTAAACGGTAATTGGTCTACGACAATTGATGTTGATTAGATCAGTTTCCGAAGCCGGAATCAAAGATTGCCTTGGATATTCGGTATACAAAATAGAGTCACGAGAATTGCCCTTGTAGACAAAGTAACCGACGAGAATCCTGAAAGGAAAATCTAGTTCGATGATCTAAATGAAATTGAGTCAAAGCGGGGCTTGAGGCTGTTTTTACCGTATTAATTTACAATCTTTATTCTCTTATTTTACTTTAATTGCTTTTATTTATTTAATCTATTTTTACTATTTAAATATTTTTTTACCAAAACTCCCTATTTACTATATCACGCTTGGTTTAAACAATTCAGACAGAAAGTTAGAATTTTCTAAGTCCCTCTGAAATCGACCCTTAGTTCTCTTTACTACGTATTTTCTTTATTTATTGATTGAGAAGAAAGAATTTATTTTGACATCAAAATAACAGTTGTCACTTGAGTTCCTCAACCTCTCTCATAATCATCTCACAGGGCTTATACCACAGGGCCTATACCACAGGGCCACCAATTTGATACTTTTCAAAGTAGTTCCTTTAAAGGAAATCCAGGGTTGTGTGGAAAACAATTGCTAAAAGAATAGAACACTAATTCTCGAGGATTGCCAACTCCATCTTCAAATAGTTCAGAAGGGTCTGGATCATTGGATTGGATAGCAATATTTCTGGGCTATGGATGTGGATTCCTATTTGGAACAGTGATTGGGAATGTTGTAATCAAAAGGAAACATGATTGGTTTACCAAGACTTTCTCCAAAATTCATGGAAGCAGGCGAATGAGCTGAATTATATTCAAATGCAAGCATGTACTGTATAATGAGTGAGGTGGTGATATACAATTATTAATACAAAAAAATGTTTTAGTTATTAACTTATGATTTATTCTTTCTAATTTGTGCGAAGTGTTATTCATCGATTAAATTTCAGGTCTGAGAGAAAAATTGATTATGTGAAAGAGACGACAAAACTTTAAAGAGAGAGAGAGGAGGTCCTAGGGGACTTCATTAAGGACGGATGTACGTTATAGGTGGGAAGAACAATTACTCCTCCCAACTTTGATGGTCTAATTACATTTTGGGTCATTGATAATTATAAAATCATTATAATTAAGCATTTACCCCTCCCAAATTTGATGATCTAATTATATTTTTGGTCACTGATAATTATATAATCATTAAAATTGAGCCCTTATCCCTCCTCAAATTTTGTTGTATAATTATTTTTAGATCATCGTAACATTTAAAATTAATGGAGTTAAGCGTTTAACCTAAATTTATGTGATTTAATTACTTTTTAAGATCTTTAGTGAAATTAAACCCGCCATTATATACCCGAGTGTTTGAACATTCCGTCTTAGACGCAATACCATGAAAGTTAGGCTTGAGGCGTTATAGGCCTATAATGCTTATTATCTTGGCCCAATATGTGAGTCCATTGAGCGATTCG